AAGAAGCAACAACAACAGCAGCAGCAGCAGCAGCCGAGGTGCAGGCCACGGGGGGTGGGGCACTGTGTGTGGTAGTACAGGGAGTGGTATGCGGTAGTGCAGGGAGTGGTGTGATGTGTGTGTGTGTGGTAGTGCAGGAAGTGGGGTGCTGTGTGAGTGTGGTGGTACAGGGAGTGGGGCACTCTGTGAGTGGTAGTGCATGGAGTGGGGCACTGTGAGTGTGGTAGTGCAGGGAGTGGGGTACTGTGAGTGTGGTAGTGCAGGAAGTGGGGGTACTGTGTGTGGTAGTGCAGGGAGTGGGGCACTGTGAGTGGTAGTGCAGGGAGTGGGGCACTGTGTGTGTGGTAGTGCAGGGAGTGGGGCACTGTGTGTGTGGTAGTGCAGGGAGTGGGGCACTGTGTGTGTGGTAGTGCAGGGAGTGGGGCACTGTGAGTGTGGTAGTGCAGGAAGTGGGGCACTGTGAGTGTGGTAGTGCAGGGAGTGGGGTACTGTGAGTGTGGTAGTGCAGGAAGTGGGGCACTGTGTGTGGTAGTGCAGGAAGTGGGGGTACTGTGAGTGTGGTAGTGCAGGAAGTGGGGCACTGTGAGTGTGGTAGTGCAGGAAGTGGGGCACTGTGTGTGTGGTAGTGCAGGGAGTGGGTACTGTGAGTGTGGTAGTGCAGGGAGTGGGGCACTGTGTGTGTGGTAGTGCAGGAAGTGGGGCACTGTGAGTGTGGTAGTGCAGGGAGTGGGGCACTGTGTGTGTGGTAGTGCAGGGAGTGGGGCACTGTGAGTGTGGTAGTGCAGGAAGTGGGGCACTGTGAGTGTGGTAGTGCAGGGAGTGGGGCACTGTGAGTGTGTAGTGCAGGAGTGGGGCACTGTGTGTGTGGTAGTGCAGGGAGTGGGGTACTGTGAGTGTGGTAGTGCAGGGAGTGGGGCACTGAGTGTGGTAGTGCAGGAAGTGGGGCACTGTGAGTGTGGTAGTGCAGGAAGTGGGGCACTGTGAGTGTGGTAGTGCAGGAAGTGGGGCACTGTGAGTGTGGTAGTGCAGGGAGTGGGGTACTGTGTGTGTGGTAGTGCAGGAAGTGGGGCACTGTGAGTGTGGTAGTGCAGGGAGTGGGGCACTGTGAGTGTGGTAGTGCAGGAAGTGGGGCACTGTGAGTGTGGTAGTGCAGGGAGTGGGGCACTGTGAGTGGTAGTGCAGGGAGTGGGGTACTGTGTGTGTGGTAGTGCAGGGAGTGGGGTACTGTGTGTGTGGTAGTGCAGGGAGTGGGGTACTGTGTGTGTGGTTAGGGTGCAGGGAGTGGGGCACTGTTGAGTGGTAGTGCAGGGAGTGGGGTACTGGTGTGTGGTAGTGCAGGGAGTGGGGTACTGTGTGTGTGGTAGTGCAGGAGTGGGGTACTGTGTGTGTGGTAGTGCAGGGAGTGGGGCACTGTGTGGTAGTGCAGGGAGTGGGGTACTGTGTGTGGTAGTGCAGGGAGTGGGGTACTGTGTGTGTGGTAGTGCAGGGAGTGGGGCACTGTGAGTGTGGTAGTGCAGGAGTGGGGCACTGTGAGTGGTAGTGCAGGAGTGGGGTACTGTGTGTGTGGTAGTGCAGGAAGTGGGGTACTGTGGTGTGGTAGTGCAGGGAGTGGGCACTGTGTGTGGTAGTGCAGGGAGTGGGGCACTGTGTGTGGTAGTGCAGGGAGTGGGGCACTGTGTGTGTGGTAGTGCAGGGAGTGGGGCACTGTGTGTGGTAGTGCAGGAAGTGGGCACTGTGTGTGTGTAGTGCAGGGAGTGGGGTACTGTGAGTGTGGTAGTGCAGGGAGTGGGGTACTGTGTGTGGTAGTGCAGGGAGTGGGGTACTGTGAGTGTGGTAGTGCAGGAAGTGGGGTACTGTGAGTGTGGTAGTGTAGGGAGTGGGGTACTGTGTGTGTGGTAGTGTAGGGAGTGGGGCACTGTGAGTGTGGTAGTGCAGGGAGTGGGGTACTGTGAGTGTGGTAGTGTAGGGAGTGGGGCACTGTGAGTGTGGTAGTGCAGGGAGTGGGGTACTGTGTGTGTGGTAGTGTAGGGAGTGGGGCACTGTGAGTGTGGTAGTGCAGGAAGTGGGGCACTGTGAGTGTGGTAGTGTAGGGAGTGGGGCACTGTGAGTGTGGTAGTGCAGGGAGTGGGGTACTGTGTGTGTGGTAGTGTAGGGAGTGGGGCACTGTGAGTGTGGTAGTGCAGGGAGTGGGGTACTGTGAGTGTGGTAGTGCAGGGAGTGGGGCACTGTGTGTGTGGTAGTGCAGGGAGTGGGGTACTGTGAGTGTGGTAGTGCAGGAAGTGGGGCACTGTGTGTGTGGTAGTGTAGGGAGTGGGGCACTGTGAGTGTGGTAGTGTAGGGAGTGGGGCACTGTGTGTGTGGTAGTGTAGGGAGTGGGGCACTGTGAGTGTGGTAGTGCAGGGAGTGGGGCACTGTGTGTGGTAGTGCAGGAAGTGGGGCACTGTGAGTGTGGTAGTGCAGGGAGTGGGGCACTGTGTGGTAGTGCAGGGAGTGGGGCACTGTGTGTGGTAGTGCAGGAAGTGGGGCACTGTGTGTGTGGTAGTGCAGGAAGTGGGGCACTGTGTGTGTGGTAGTGTAGGGAGTGGGGCACTGTGAGTGTGGTAGTGCAGGGAGTGGGGCACTGTGGTGTGTAGTGCAGGAAGTGGGGCACTGTGAGTGTGGTAGTGCAGGGAGTGGGGCACTGTGTGGTAGTGCAGGGAGTGGGGCACTGTGTGTGGTAGTGCAGGAAGTGGGGCACTGTGAGTGTGGTAGTGCAGAGAGTGGGGCACTGTGAGTGTGGTAGTGCAGGGAGTGGGGCACTGTGTGTGTGGTAGTGCAGGGAGTGGGGCACTGTGAGTGTGGTAGTGCAGGGAGTGGGGCACTGTGAGTGTGGTAGTGCAGGGAGTGGGGCACTGTGTGTGTGGTAGTGCAGGGAGTGGGGCACTGTGTGTGTGGTAGTGCAGGGAGTGGGGCACTGTGTGTGTGGTAGTGCAGGGAGTGGGGCACTGTGTGTGTGGTAGTGCAGGGAGTGGGGCACTGTGTGTGGTAGTGCAGGGAGTGGGGCCACTGAGTGTGGTAGTGCAGGGAGTGGGGCACTGTGTGTGTGGTAGTGCGGAGTGGGGCACTGTGTGTGTGGTAGTGCAGGGATTTGGGCACTGTGTGTGTGGTAGTGCAGGAAGTGGGGCACTGTGTGTGTTGTAGTGCAGGGAGTGGGGCACTGTGTGTGTGGTAGTGCAGGAAGTGGGGCACTGTGTGTGTGGTAGTGCAGGAAGTGGGGCACTGTGTGTGTGGTAGTGTAGGGAGTGGGGCACTGTGTGTGTGGTAGTGCAGGAAGTGGGGCACTGTGTGTGTGGTTGCAGTAGTGCAGTGTGGTAGTGCAGGGAGTGGGGCACTGTGTGTGTGGTAGTGCAGGGAGTGGGGCACTGTGTGTGTGGTAGTGCAGGGATTTGGGCACTGTGTGTGTGGTAGTGCAGGAAGTGGGGCACTGTGTGTGTGGTAGTGCAGGGAGTGGGGCACTGTGTGTGTGGTAGTGCAGGAAGTGGGGCACTGTGTGTGTGGTAGTGCAGGAAGTGGGGCACTGTGTGTGTGGTAGTGCAGGGAGTGGGGCACTGTGTGTGTGGTAGTGCAGGAAGTGGGGCACTGTGTGTGTGGTAGTGCAGGAAGTGGGGCACTGTGTGTGTGGTAGTGCAGGGAGTGGGGCACTGTGTGTGTGGTAGTGCAGGAAGTGGGGCACTGTGTGTGTGGTAGTGCAGGGAGTGGGGCACTGTGTGTGTGGTAGTGCAGGGAGTGGGGCACTGAGTGTGGTAGTGCAGGGAGTGGGCACTGTGTGTGTGGTAGTGCAGGAAGTGGGGCACTGTGTGTGTGGTAGTGCAGGAAGTGGGGCACTGTGAGTGTGGTAGTGCAGGAAGTGGGGCACTGTGTGTGTGGTAGTGCAGGGAGTGGGGCACTGTGTGTGTGGTAGTGCAGGAAGTGGGGCACTGTGTGTGTGGTAGTGCAGGGAGTGGGGCACTGTGTGTGTGGTAGTGCAGGGAGTGGGGCACTGAGTGTGGTAGTGCAGGGAGTGGGGCACTGTGTGTGTGGTAGTGCAGGAAGTGGGGCACTGTGTGTGTGGTAGTGCAGGGAGTGGGGCACTGTGTGTGTGGTAGTGCAGGGAGTGGGGCACTGAGTGTGGTAGTGCAGGGAGTGGGGCACTGTGTGTGTGGTAATGCAGGAAGTGGGGCACTGTGAGTGTGGTAGTGCAGGAAGTGGGGCACTGTGAGTGTGGTAGTGCAGGGAGTGGGGCACTGTGAGTGTGGTAGTGCAGGGAGTGGGGCACTGTGAGTGTGGTAGTGCAGGGAGTGGGGCACTGTGAGTGTGGTAGTGCAGGGAGTGGGGCACTGTGTGTGTGGTAGTGCAGGGAGTGGGGCACTGTGTGTGTGGTAGTGCAGGGAGTGGGGCACTGTGTGTGTGGTAGTGCAGGGAGTGTGAGGGGTCATGGTGAGGGAGTGGTTGAGTGGTGTGGTGGTGGAGCGGTGTGGTGGTGGAGCGGTGTGGTGGTGGAGCAGTGTGGTGGTGTGGTGGTGGAGCGGTGTGGTGGTGGAGCAGTGTGGTGGTGGAGCGGTGTGGTGGTGGAGCGGTGTGGGGGTGGAGCGGTGTGGTGGTGGAGCGGTGTGGTGGTGGAGCGGAGTGGTGGTGGAGCTGTGGGATGGTGGAGCGGTGTGGGGGTGGAGCGGTGTGGTGGTGGGGCGGTGTGGGGGTAGAGCTGTGGGATGGTGGAGCGGTGTGGGGGTGGAGCTGTGGGATGGTGGAGCGGTGTGGTGGTGGAGCGGTGTGGTGGTGGAGCGGAGTGGTGGTGGAGCTGTGGGATGGTGGAGCGGTGTGGGGGTGGAGCGGTGTGGGGGTGGAGCGGTGTGATGGTGGAGCGGTGTGGTGGTGGAGCGGTGTGGTGGTGGAGCGGTGTGGTGGTGGGGCGGTGTGGTGGTGGAGCGGTGTGGTGGTGGAGCGGTGTGGTGGATCAGTGCCCGTGGTGCCGCTGGCTGCAGGTCTCTGTCGGAGGACGGGTTGGTGTTGAGGCGGCACGGGGAGGAGGGCCGAGCGGCCGAGCACGACGAGGGCGACGAGGAGGGGGGGGTGGGGGCCTCCACCCCCAGCGACAAGAAGCCGCCCAAGCAGCTCCTCCGGTAAGACGCGTCACGTGGTGACGTCACGATCGTACGGTGAGAAAGAAGTTCAACATACACACTGCCCACAGACTCAACACTACCCATAGACTCACACTACCCATGGACTCAACACTGCCCCAGACTCAACACTGCTCATAGACTCAACACTGCCCATAGACTCAACACTGCTCATAGACTCAACACTACCCACAGACTCAACACTGCCCCAGACTCAACACTGCTCATAGACTCAACACTACCCACAGACTCAACACTGCCCCAGACTCAACACTGCTCATAGACTCAACACTGCACATAGACTCAACACTGCACCATAGACTCACCACTACCCATAGACTCAACACTGCTCATAGACTCAACACTGCTCATAGACTCAACACTGCCCATAGACTCAACACTGCTCATAGACTCAACACTACCCATAGACTCAACACTGCACCATAGACTCAACACTGCACATAGACTCAACACTGCCCATAGACTCAACACTGCTCATAGACTCAACACTACCCATAGACTCAACACTGCACATAGACTCAACACTGCCCATAGACTCAACACTGCACATAGACTCAACACTGCCCATAGACTCAACACTGCACATAGACTCAACACTGCCCATAGACTCAACACTGCCCATAGACTCAACACTACCCACAGACTCAACACTACCCATAGACTCAACACTGCACATAGACTCAACACTGCCCATAGACTCAACACTGCACATAGACTCAACACTGCCCATAGACTCAACACTGCACATAGACTCAACACTGCCCACAGACTCAACACTGCTCATAGACTCAACACTGCCCATAGACTCAACACTGCACATAGACTCAACACTGCCCATAGACTCAACACTGCACATAGACTCAACACTGCCCATAGACTCAACACTGCCCACAGACTCAACACTACCCACAGACTCAACACTACCCATAGACTCAACACTGCCCATAGACTCAACACTACCCATAGACTCAACACTGCACCATAGACTCAACACTGCCCATAGACTCAACACTGCCCACAGACTCAACACTGCCCATAGACTCAACACTACCCCACAGACTCAGCACTCCCCATAGACTCAACACTGCACCATAGACTCACACTGCCCATAGACTCAACACTGCCCACAGACTCAACACTGCTCATAGACTCAATACTACCCCACAGACTCAGCACTCCCCATAGACTCAACACTCCCCATAGACTCAACACTCCCCATAGACTCAACACTGCCCACAGACTGAACACTGCCCATAGACTCAACACTGCCCATAGACTCAACGCTGCACCTCTGATATCGCCACGGTTGACTTACGTACGGTGCGAAAGAAGTTCAACACACGCGCCAACAGCGCAGCACGTGCACTCGTGGCCATTACCCGCCGGCCACGCCGACCGGCACGCCGGCTAGCCCATGTCCGCCGTGCCTCTGGTCGCAGGCCGTGAGCCTGGACCCGACTTGGCATCACGCGGCGGTTGCGAGTTTTGTCCGCGTGATGCCAACACGAGTGACACGTGAGGCTAACCACATGGGGGGTGGGGGCTACCAGGCCTAGCCAGGACTTTTCAATCTACAACAGCCGCAGTCTCGCACCAGATGGCCTGGGCCCCGTTGTGCCTGGACGAGGCGAATGGTGGCGGAGCGTGGGATGAGTAGGTGATGAAGAAAGTTTCGCCGTTTCACAAACCTCCTCCCCCCTGGCGCTCAGAGTGGAGTCGCCCCCTAGTTCTCCCGAGAACGGAACACGACGCAGAGTCTCCACTCATCGTCATCATCTTCTTCTTCCACGCGTTTGTCCCACTGACGTTCTTGCCAACCTTCTCCACACTCCCTGTCCTGCGCCATCTCTCTCTCCACCAGAGGTCGCAGCCGGGTACCCGATACCCGTACCGTACCCTACCCGATAACCGGCTACCCGTACCCGGCTGGGTACGGGTACCGGTACCAGTTTGCGACCCTGGTGGGGCCGGGTACGGGTACGGGTAGGCCGTGAGTCACTGGTGAGTAACCGTTTGTCACTCATTTCCCAACGTCTTGTCTCTTCTCACAATTCAAGTTCCTAGAATCAACCCACCCGCGCCTGCAACATGGCTTCATCCCAGAGGTCGCAATCAGGTACCCGATACCCGTACCCTACCCGTACCTGTACCCGGCTGGGTACGGGTAGGGTACGGGTACCTGTTTGCGACCCTGGTGCGGCCGGGTACGGGTAAGGAATCAAAACCCGTTTGCGACCTCTGCTCTCCACTCCTCAGGCAGCACATCGGCCCACTCCTCTTCTTCCTCCTTCCTCCTCTAGATCTCTTTCCTTCCACTTGCATCACTCGCCACATTCTGACTCCACATCATGGTCCTGGTGTCTCTCCGCATGACCGAACCACACCCACAGCCTTTTCTCTCTCTCTCTCGTCTTCTCTGTGATGTCTACCACCTTGAGTCGTCCTCTCACTCTGTCATTTCTCAGCCCCCTGTCCCTTCCTTGTTAAACCCCAAGCATCCACGGCAACATCCTCATCTCTGTGACTTCCACAGCTTGGTCCTCCCTCTTGCTAGTGGCCCAGCACTTGCCCCCATACAACAGCTCTGGCCTCAACACCGTCTTGTTTCAAGTTTCAAGTTTCATTTATTTGGTGTAGCCCTGTGAGCCATTCGGCTCTTGAATCGGGTGCAACCGAGTGGATGAGTGAGTGAGTGAATGAGTGGGTGAGTGAGTGGGTGAGTGGGTGAGTGAGTGGGTGAGTGAGTGGGTGGATGAGTGAGTGGATAAGTGAGTGGATGAGTGGATGAGTGAGTGAGTGAGTGGGTGAGTGAGTGAGTGGGTGAGTGAGTGGGTGAGTGAGTGGGTGAGTTTGTGATGTGCAGGGTGGTGGTGGTAGTGGGTGAGTGAGTGGGTGGGTGAGTTTGTGATGTGCAGTGTGTTGGATGAGTGAGTGGATGAGTGAGTGAGTGAGTGGATGAGTGGGTGAGTGAGTGAGTGGGTGAGTGAGTGAGTGGGTGAGTGAGTGGGTGAGTGAGTGGGTGAGTTTGTGATGTGCAGGGTGGTGGTGGTAGTGGGTGAGTGAGTGGGTGGGTGAGTTTGTGATGTGCAGTGTGGTGGGTGAGTGGGTGGATGAGTGGATGAGTGAGTGAGTGAGTGGATGAGTGGGTGAGTGAGTGGGTGAGTGGGTGAGTGAGTGGGTGAGTGGTTGAGTGAGTGAGTGAGTGGGTGAGTGAGTGAGTGGGTGGGTGGATGAGTGAGTGGATAAGTGAGTGGATGAGTGGATGAGTGAGTGAGTGAGTGGGTAAGTGAGTGGGTGAGTGAGTGGGTGAGTTTGTGATGTGCAGGGTGGTGGTGGTAGTGGGTGAGTGAGTGGGTGGGTGAGTTTGTGATGTGCAGTGTGTTGGATGAGTGAGTGGATGAGTGAGTGGATGAGTGGATGATTGAGTGAGTGAGTGAGTGGATGAGTGGGTGGGTGAGTGGGTGAGTGGGTGAGTGGAGTGGGTGAGTGGGTGATGTGAGTGAGTGGGTGAGTGAGTGAGTGGGTGGATGAGTGAGTGGATAAGTGAGTGGATGAGTGAGTGAGTGGGGAGTGCAGTGAGTGATTGAGTGGTGGGTGAGTGAGTGGTGTGAGTGAGGGGTGAGTTTGTGATGTGCAGGGTTGGTGGTGGTAGTGGGTGAGTGAGTGGGTGGGTGAGTTTGTGATGTGCATGTGGTGGGTGAGTGAGTGAGTGAGTGGATGAGTGGGTGAGTGAGTGGGGAGTGAGGTGGGTGAGTGGTTGAGTGAGTGAGTGAGTGGGTGAGTGAGTGTGAGTGAGTGGGGGGAGTGAGTGAGTGGATAAGTGATGGATAGTGGATGAGTGAGTGAGTGTGGTGAGTGAGTGGGTGAGTGAGTGGGTGAGTTTGTGATGTGCAGGGTGGTGGTGGTAGTGGGTGGTGGTGTGTGGGGAGTTTGTGATGTGCAGTGTGTTGGATGAGTGAGTGAGTGAGTGGATGAGTGGATGAGTGATAGTGAGTGATGAGTGGATGAGTGGGTGAGTGAGTGGGTGATGTGGGTGAGTGTGTATGGTGAGTGGGTGGATGAGTGAGTGGATAGTGAGTGGATGAGTGAGTGAGTGAGTGGGTGAGTGAGTGGGTGGAGTGAGTGGGTGAGTTTGTGATGTGCAGGTGTGGTGGTGTGGGTGAGTGAGTGGGTGGGTGAGTTTGTGATGTGCAGGTGTGTGTGTGTGAGTGGGTGGATGAGTGGATGAGTGAGTGAGTGGAGTGGTGAGTGAGTGGGTGAGTGGGTGAGTGAGTGGGTGAGTGGTTGAGTGGTGAGTGAGTGGGTGAGTGGTGTGAGTTTGTGATGTGCAGTGTGGTGGGTGAGTGGGTGGATGAGTGGATGAGTGAGTGAGTGGATGAGTGGGTGAGTGAGGTGGTGAGTGGGTGAGTGAGTGGGTGAGTGGTGAGTGAGTGAGTGAGTGGGTGAGTGAGTGAGTGAGTGGGTGGAATGAGTGAGTGGATAAGTGAGTGGATGAGTGGATGAGTGGATGAGTGAGTGAGTGAGTGGGTGAGTGAGTGAGTGAGTGGGTGAGTGAGTGGGTGAGTGAGTGGTGAGTTTGTGATGTGCAGGGTGGTGGTGGTAGTGGGTGAGTGAGTGGGTGGGTGGAGTTTGTGATGTGCAGTGTGGTGGTGTGAGTGAGTGGGTGAGTGAGTGGATGAGTGGGGTGAGTGAGTGAGTGGATGAGTGGGTGAGTGAGTGAGTGGGTGAGTGAGTGAGTGGGTGAGTGAGTGGTGGGTGGGTGAGTGAGTGAGTGAGTGAGTGGGTGAGTGAGTGGGTGGATGAGTGAGTGGATGAGTGAGTGTATGAGTGAGTGAGTGAGTGGAGAGTGAGTGAGTGAGTGTGAGTGTGAGTGGGTGTCTGAGTGAGTGGGTGAGTTTGTGATGTGCAGTGTGTTGGGTGAGCGAGTGGGTGAGTGAGTGGGTGAGTGGGTGAGTGAGTGAGTGGGTGAGTGAGTGAGTGGGTGGATGAGTGAGTGGATGAGTGAGTGGATGAGTGAGTGAGTAGGTGAGTGAGTTGGTGAGTGAGTGGGTGAGTGAGTGGATGAGTGAGTGGGTGAGTTTGTGATGTGCAGGGTGGTGGTGGTAGTGGGTGAGTGAGTGGGTGGGTGGGTGAGTTTGTGATGTGCAGTGTGGTGGGTGAGTGGGTGGGTGAGTGAGTGAGTGGATGAGTGGGTGAGTGAGTGGGTGAGTGAGTGGGTGAGTGAGTGAGTGGGTGAGTGAGAGTGGGTTGATGAGTGAGTGGATAAGTGAGTGGATGAGTGGATGAGTGAGTGAGTGGATGAGTGATGTGAGTGGGTGAGTGGGTGGGTGAGTGAGTGGGTGAGTGAGTGGGTGAGTTTGTGATGTGCAGTGTGTTGGGTGAGTGAGTGGGTGAGTGAGTGGGTGAGTGAGTAAGTGATGTGCAGGGTGGTGGTGGTGGCTGAGGCGAAACAGCGGCAGTCTTCTCGACCGAGTCCTCAACACGAGGAGAGAACCCCTCTAGAGTCCCCGGCCCCCCCCACCTCGTCACCCCTCCCCCCCCACCTCGCCTCACCCCCCCCACCTCACGCCCCCCCACCTCACGCACCCCCCACCTCACGCCCCCCCCCCACCTCGCCACACGCCCCCCCCCCCCCCAGGCGTCAATCGCCCCCCCTCACCCGGCTCGACCTGTCGGGTGGCTTCGTGACGCGGTGACGAGTCACGACTCCTGCAGAGAGAGGCGCACGGAGCCGCCCGCTCGGGTGCAGCGAGAGCGACGGCGATAATAATAAAAAATATAATTATATAATTAGTATAACACGCGGCAAGCCGTGACATACACACGCGTGTGTGTGTGTTGCAGTGTGTGTGTGTGTCTCTGTGTGTCTGTGTGTGTGTCTCGCAGTGTGTCTGCGTGTGTCTCTGTGTGTCTCTCTCTGTCTCTCGCTTGTGTTTGTGTGTCTGTGTGTATCTTTGTGTCTATGTGTGTCTGTGTGTGTCTCGCAGCGTGTCTCTCTGTGTGTGTCTCTGTGTCTCTGTGTGTATCTGTGTGCGTGTGTGTATCTGTGTGCGTGTGTGTGTCTGTGTGCGTGTGTGTGTCTGTGTGCGTGTGTGTGTCTGTGTGCGTGTGTGTCTCTGTGTGCGTGTGTGTATCTGTGTGCGTGTGTGTGTCTGTGTGCGTGTGTGTCTCTGTGTGCGTGTGTGTCTCTGTGTGTGTCTCGCAGTGTGTGTCTCTCTGTCTCGCAGTGTGTGTCTCTCTGTGTCTCTGTGTGTCTGTGTGTGCGTATCTGTGTGCGTGCGTGTGTGTCTGTGTGTGTGTCTGTGTGCGTGTGTGTCTGTGTGCGTGTGTGTATCTGTGTGCGTGTGTGTCTCTGTGTGTCTGTGTGTGCGTGCGTGTGTGTCTGTGTGTGTGTGTTGCGTGTGTGTATCTGTTGTGTCCTGTGTGTGCGTATCTGTGTGCGTGCGTGTGTGTCTGTGTGTGTGTCTGTGTGTGTGTCTGTGTGCGTGTGTGTATCTGTGTGCGTGTGTGTCTGTGTGTGCGTATCTGTGTGCGTGCGTGTGTGTCTGTGTGTGTGTCTGTGTGCGTGTGTGTATCTGTGTGCGTTGTGGCTCTGTGTGTCTGTGTGTGCGTATCTGTGTGCGTGCGTGTGTGTCTGTGTGTGTGTCTGTGTGCGTGTGTGTATCTGTGTGCGTGTGTGTCCTCTGTGTGTCTGGTGTGTGCGTATCGGTGTGCGTGCGTGTGTATCTGTGTGTGTGTCTGTGTGCGTGTGTGTATCTGTGTGCGTGTGTGTCTCTGTGTGTCTGTGTGTGCGTGTGTGTCTGTGTGCGTGTGTGTATCTGTGTGCGTGTGTGTCTCTGTGTGTCTGTGTGTGCGTATCTGTGTGCGTGCGTGGTGTGTCTGTGTGCGTGCGTGTGTGTCTGTGTGTGTGTCTGTGTGCGTGTGTGTAGTCTGTTGTGCGTGTTGTCTCTGTGTGTCTGTGTGTGCGTATCTGTGTGCGTGCGTGTGTGTCTGTGTGTGTGTCTGTGTGCGTGTGTGTATCTGTGTGCGTGTGTGTCTCTGTGTGTCTGTGTGTGCGTATCTGTGTGCGTGCGTGTGTGTCTGTGTGTGTGTCTGTGTGCGTGTGTGTATCTGTGTGCGTGTGTGTCTCTGTGTGTCTGTGTGTGCGTATCTGTGTGTGCGTGCGTGTGTGTCTGTGTGTGTGTCTGTGTGCGTGTGTGTATCTGTGTGCGTGTGTGTCTCTGTGTGTCTGTGTGTGCGTATCTGTGTGCGTGCGTGTGTGTCTGTGTGTGTGTCTGTGTGCGTGTGTGTATCTGTGTGCGTGTGTGTCTCTGTGCGTGTGTCTCTGTGTCTGTGTGTGTCTCCGTGTGGCTGTGTGTGTCTGTGTCTGTGTACCATCGGACACTCCACCCCCACAACTCCCAATCGGTGATGGGGCAGTTGTGGAGAGAGTGGAGAGTTTCCAATACCTGGGCAGTGTGCTCATGACCGGCTCCAGTTTATCAGCAGAGGTCTCACTCCGAATCAGTCGAGCGGCAATATCTTTTCATCGGTTGCGTAACGCTGTGTGAAAGCTACCTGGTCTGTCGCTCCGCACGAAGCTTCAGGTCTTCTCGGCCACGGTCATTCCCTCCCTTCTCTACGCTTGCGAAACGTGGACCCCCCTAATGGAACATCTTTGCCGGCTGGAAACATTTAGGCTGGCCTGCCTACGATCCATCTTGGGTTTAACCAGGCTGGATTGTGTGAGGAGCTCACAAATCCTTGAAAGATCTGGGCAAAGTCCGATCGGTGAGCTCCTCCGGCAGGCAAGGCTGCGTTGGCTGGGTCATGTAGCCCGCATGCCCAGCCACCGCATGCCTAAACAGCCTTTGTTCGGCCGGATCGAGGGGGCTAAACGGGCGCAGAACGGGCTAGAGAAGAGATGGAGTGATGTGGTACAGGAGGACGTGGAGCTGAGTGGACTTGCCGAAGACTGGTACCAGCGGTGTCAAGATCGGCCTCAGTGGAGGAGGCTCGTGAAGGACGCTACTGGGCAGTTGGAGGCAGTCGCTCTCCAACAACAACGGAGGGCGGAGGAGCGACGCTCACAACAACGAGCGGAGTGCCGGGTGGCTAAAGCACAGCAAGTTGGTACAGTAGGGGGCACAGGTGGTGCATCAGCCAGTCATCTCGGTCATCTCGATCAGTCGACCCGTGGCACCTGCTGGGTCTGCCCCGTGACCTCCTGCCAGCGGGCGTTCGACACTTCACGTGGCCTCAAGGTGCACTTGGCCTGGCACAAGCGTTGTGGTGACGTCATCGCCACTTAGTGGCGAATGGCGGTTGTTGTGTGTTTGTCTGTGTGTGTCTGTGTGTGTGTCGCTGTGTGTCTGTGTCTCTATGCACGTGAATGTGGAGTGGTAGTGTAGTGGTTAGGGAGACAAAGGTGGCCGGGCATGGTGCTGGCCACCCCCCCCCCCCCCCTCGTGCGCTGTGCCGGCCTTCAAAGGTGCTCGCTAACAGCACTTGCCCCAACAGTCTGCTAAGGCTATACGGGGGATCTTTGTATTTTGTGTGGGCGTGGAGGTGCTGCTGCTGCTGCACCCAGAGTGTGCCACTTGGAGGTGGGGTCTTACCATCAGCCCCACCGAAACTCAGCACCTGCCAACTCCCCATTGGTGATGGAGCAGTTGTTGGAGAGAGTGAAGAGTTGTCCATACCTGGGCAGTGTGCTCATGAGTGGCTCCCGTTTGACAGCAGAGGTCCTGCTCTGAATCAGTCGAGCGACATCTTTTCATCGGCTGCGTAATGCTGTGTGGAAGCTGCCCGGCCTGTCGCTCCACACAAAGCTTCGGGTCTTCTCGGCCACAGTCATGCCCTCCCTTCTCTACGCTTGCGAAGCATGGTCCCCTCTAATGGAACATCTGCGCCGGTTCTAAACATTCAGTCTGGCCTGCCTACAATCCATCCTGGGTTTAACCAGGCTATATTGTGTGAGGAGCTCACAAATCCTTGAAAGATCTGGATATATGCCCATCAGTGAGCTCCTCCGACAGGCATGGCTGAGTTGGCTGGGTCATGTCACCCACATGCCCAGCCACCGCATGCCCAAGCAGCTTCTGTTAGGCCAGACAGAGGGGGCTAAACGGGCGCAGCACGGGCTAGAGTAGAGATGGAGTGATGGGTGAGTGAGTGGCACGGGCTAGAGAAGAGATGGAGTGATGTGGTACAGGAGGACGTGGAGCTGAGTGGACTTGCCAATGACTGGTACCAGCGGTGTCAAGATCGGCCTCTGTGGAGGAGGCTCGTGAAGGATGCTCCTGGGCAGTTGGAGGCAGTCGCCTTCCAACAACAACGGAGGGCGGAGGAGCGACGCTCACAATGAGCGGAGCGCCGGGTGGCTAAAGCACAGCAAGTTGGCACAGTCGTGGGCACAAGTGGTGCATTGGCCACTCATCTCAGTCAGCCGACCCGTGGCAACTGCTGGGTCTGCCCCGTGACCTCCTGCCAGCGGGCATTCGACGCTTCACGTGGCCTCAACGTGCACATAGCCTGGCACAAGCGACGTGGTGACGTCACCGCCACTTAGTGGCAGAATGGCGGTTGGTGTCTGTACGTGTGTCTGTACGTGTGTCTGTACGTGTCTGTGCGTGTGTCTGTGTGTGTCTGTATGTGTGTCTGTGTGTGTCTGTACGTGTGTTTGTGTGTGTCTGTACGTGTGTCTGTACGTGTGTCTGTATGTGTCTGTACGTCTGTCTATATATGTCTGTACGTGTCTGTGTATCTGTACGTGTGTTTGTGTGTGTCTGTACGTGTGTCTGTACGTGTGTCTGTATGTGTCTGTGCGTGCGTGCTCCGTTTCAGCGCGAAAACCCTGGACCCGGTCCCATCGGAGGAATTCGACACGAGGAGGCACATGTCCATCACCGTGAGTGGCGCCCGTCCCCGTGACGCGCGCGCGAATGCACAAACAGGGCTGCACGTGAGCTCATCGGTTCGATCTCCTGGCGCGGCAGCCGACGCAACGGCGCGCGTTGCTTACACCCCCCTCGCCCGCCACGCAGTGTACGCGGGTTAGCCGTGGGCAGCGCGATCGGCAGGCGGCGAGCGGTGGGGCAAAGTGTGGGTACTCCGTCTGGACGGCGTGGACGAGGAGGCGAAAGTTCAGTCGACGGGAGAGGCTCTCTGGAGCTCCCTACAGAGGCCCTTCTGCCAGAAGTATGGCAATACGGGTTGAGTTTCGATTTAAAGCTTTCGTGACTGCAGGGATTCATCGTCTTGATTCTTTCAGTAAAGTCACGTAGAAGGGAAATAATGAAATAATAAAAATAAAACATAATAAAATAATTCTCACGACGTTTCGGCTACAACGCAAGCTGGGTTATACGCTCCAAGCTTGGTGGTGGTTCATTCTTCACCTGAGGACGGCTGCTTGCGTTGTAGCCGAGACGTCGTGAGAATTATTTTATTATGTTTTATTTTTATTATTTTATTACTTCCCTTCTACGTGACTTTACCGTAAGAACCAAGAACATGAATACCAGTTGAGTTTAGTTTGTATCAAAAGGGTCCTGGTGCTGCGTTGATTGGCCGATACGGTGGCTAGGAGCTGTCAACTACCTCGCCTGGTGTACAGGAGGTCGTGGGTTCGATCCCGACCCTGACGCCTGCTGCTGTATATTTGGAGTTTCCGCGTCTCTCTCTCTTTCTCTCTCCTCGTGGTCGCGTGGATTTTTTTCTCCGGGTGTCCTCCGGTTTTCCCCCTCCACATTTAGAATCGACGTCGCGCGTCTCGAGTATTTGGCTGCTGTAAGTTTGCTCGCGATGACGATGAGCCACTTGGTTGAGATATCACTTGTGGCCAGGTCGCTTATGAAAAAGAGTTACAGTGTGAGCCTTGCCTGGTGAAATAAAAAAAAAGTTTATTTATTTTCTATTTTAGTTTTTTTTTATATTTTAAGATGTTTTCTGCCAATCCATGATGAGTTTCTTTTACATTAACAGGGTGCTTAAAACATTTTTTTACACTTCCGTATATGTTAATAGCTTCAAAAAGTCTCCACTTGTTTCTTATCATCGTCAACGCACGCCTGGTGGATCTCCAGAGACCGGAGGCACATTTCCCGTGGTATTGTTGCAAATTAACAAAATTTTTTAAGCGCCCTGCGTATGAACGTTGGTGGAAACTGGGAGGTCACCGGTTCGATCTCCTGACGGGGGGGACATAGCACGGTGCGATGTGCGAGCATGGCGACTGCTGTGGGTGAGCGACGGCGATAGCTAAAAGGTAACTCACGGTTCACCCCCCCTCGCCCCCCCCCTTGTCTCTCCCCGTCTGCTCAGCCTCCCAAAAAGCACAACAGGCAATTCCACAAGCTCTTCAAAAGCATCTCTCACCAAGAGGAGCTCGTCGATAGTGAGTCGGACTCTCTCGTTGACGCGCTCGCCCCACCTGCTTTCGAGTTTCGTGTCGCTCAACCAATTTTTGTTTTTCCTCGAACTTCGCAGCACAAAGAGGGTGGTGGGGTCCCTTGCCCCTAAGCTCGGCAGTTCACCAGCACTCACTCGAGAAGGTGGGACGCTGCATGTTAAAACCGGTTCCACAGCTTTGCCTGTCTTGAAAACAGTGCAGCACTCCCAGAAGGAACAAATTCAAATCGTGAACAGACTGCCGCAATCGTGAACAGACTGCCCCAATCGTGAACAGACTGCCCCAATCGTGAACAGACTGCCCCAATCGTGAACGGACTGCCCCAATCGTGAACGGACTGCCCCAATCGTGAACGGACTGCCCCAATCGTGAACGGACTACCCCAATCGTGAACAGACTACCCCAATCGTGAACAGACTACCCCAATCGTGAACAGACTACCCCAATCGTGAACAGACTGCCCCAATCGTGAACGGACTACCCCAATCGTGAACGGACTGCCCCAATCGTGAACGGACTGCCCCAATCGTGAACGGACTACCCCAATCGTGAACAGACTACCCCAATCGTGAACAGACTACCCCAATCGTGAACAGACTACCCCAATCGTGAACAGACTGCCCCAATCGTGAACGGACTACCCCAATCGTGAACAGACTGCCCCAATCGTGAACAGACTACCCCAATCGTGAACAGACTACCCCAATCGTGAACACTGCCCCAATCGTGAACAGACTGCCCCAATCGTGAACAGACTACCCCAATCGTGAACAGACTGCCCCAATCGTGAACAGACTGCCCCAATCGTGAACAGACTACCCCAATCGTGAACAGACTGCCCCAATCGTGAACAGACTGCCCCAATCGTGAACAGACTGCCCCAATCGTGAACAGACTACCCCAATCGTGAACAGACTACCCCAATCGTGAACAGACTGCCCCAATCGTGAACAGACTGCCCCAATCGTGAACGGACTGCCCCCAGTCGGATCGTTCAATGACGATCTGAAACAAACCCACGCGGCGGTTACTTCCGAAGCGGTCAAGTGGGATATCAAATCTCGACATGGATTTGTAATCTGTTGCGTTTGCCAAAAATGCCATACGGAAGAAGAAGATGACTCCCAGAAGGCCGTGCAGCTGATGGGTTGTGTAGGAAACACTTTTATCTTCTTGGTTCTTTCGGTAAAGTCACGTAGAAGGAAAATAATAAAATAATAAAATAAAACATAATAAAATAATTCTCACGACGTTGTCTTCCCGACAGACCTGTTCTTCACCTGAAGACAGCTGCTTGCGTTGTGGCCGAAACGTCGTGAGGATTATTTTATTATGTTTTATTTTATTATTTCCCTTCTACGTGACTTTACCGAAAGAACCAAGAAGATGAATCCCTGCAGTCACGACAGCTTTAAATCGAGAGTTGTACTTCGTTCCGGAGAATGAGTCCGAATCTTTATTGATCCTGCGAGAAATCCGATGAGCTAGAAAGCTCTTCGTTTTTGTGACATACGTCAAGTGCGGCTGCTTGTGCGAGGAGGCTGGAGGACGTGGAGAAAGCCCCAGCACCCTGCCGCTTACAGCGAGAGTTCGGCCTGACCATGCTGATGAGACACTGCGTGTCGAAACCGGCCCAGAGTTTGCTCGTCTTGACGTGTTCTTCACCTGAAGACGGCTGCTTGCGTTGTGGCCGAAGCGTCGTGAGAATTATTTGATTTTGTTTTATTTTTATTCTTTTATTATTTCCCTTCTACGTGACTTTACCGAAAGAACTAAGAAGATTAATCCCTGCAGTCACGAAAGCTTTAAATCGAAACACTTTTATGTTTTACGTGGAAAGACGGAGATACGCAAATGAGGAGACATTCTGGCGCCCGTGACGTCAGCCTGCAGGAGGGTGACCACCTGACCGGGGAATTGGCACCTATTAAAACTAAACTATAAACATTTTTGTTTATTTTACCAGGTAAGGCCCCACTGGGCTATTACACAGCTTTTTTTCAGAAGCGAGCTGGCTACCACAAATGATAGCTCAACGAAATGGGGGCTCATCACCACGTGGAAATGTATCGCAGCCGAAAATTCTAATCGCGTGATGTTGATTCTAAATGTGGAGAGAAAAACCGGAGGACCCGGAGAAAAATCCACGCCACCACGGGGAGAGAAAGAGACACACGCAAACTCCAAATATACAGCAGCAGCAGCAGGCGTCAGGGTTGGGATCGAACCCACGACCTCCTGCATACCGGGCGAGAAAGTTGACATCTCCTAGCCAACGTGGTGCCGTTCTGTGTTTGGGTGGCGGGGAATTTATAAGAAGTCGAGATCTGCCGATGGAATTGTGTTAACCGCTCGGTTTTGAGGACAGACCTCGACTGACTGAGCAGCATGTCCGGGTTTGCTCTGCGGTTTAAGAAGGTTGCATTGTAGTTGATGGGTCAATGAATGACCACGTGTTGTGTTGCGTGTTGTGTTGCGTGTTGTGTTGTGTTGCGTGTTGTGTTGTGTTGTGTTGCGTGTCGTGTGCATCAGCGTACACGTGCGCCCTGCAAAAGGACATTGTTTACCAGGGCCGGCTCTTTGTCTCCAAGTCTTGGATCTGCTTCCACGCCAACCTCTTTGGGAAAAGCATGAAGGTGCAGTGGGGGCCCCACTCATTCCGGGGTCCACGCACACGGGCATGAATTCGCCACGAGAGGGACACGAGTGGGTACGAGAGGGCACGAGAGGGCACGGGAGGGCACGTACTCACTGGGGTGCCATGCGGGAGTGGTGCGTTCGCTCTCCGAGCGCCTGATGAAGGCCATGCCGCTGTGAAACTGTGTGTAGTTTATTTTTCAGAAGCCACCTGGCTACCACAAATGACGGCTCAACGAAGTGTCTTATCATCACGTGGAAATTTATAGCGGCCAAATACGTAAAATGGGAGGAGCCCGGAGAAAAGTCCACGCGACCACGGGGGAGAGAGAGACACACAAACTCCAAATATACAGCAGCAGCAGCAGGCGCCAGGGTCGGGATTGAACCCATGACCTCCTGTATACCAGGCGAGGTAGTTAACATCTCCTAGCCACCGTGATGATGATGATGAAAGAGAGACACGCAAACTCCAAATATACAGCAGCAGGCGCCAGGGTCGGGATTGAACCCACGACCTCCTGTATACCAGGCGAGGTAGTTAACATCTCCTAGCCACCGTGATGATGATGATGAAAGAGAGACACGCAAACTCCAAATATACAGCAGCAGGCGTCAGGGTCGGGATTGAACCCACGACCTCCTGCGCACCAGGCGAGGTTGTCAACATCTTGCCACTGCGGCTGTATGCAGATCGCGGTGCCGGTCTGCGAGGTGACGGCCATTCACAAGGACAAGACGGCGCGGCTCGTGCCCAACGCTGTGCGGATCACCACCACCACCGCCACGGTAACGACCACCGCCACGGTAACGACCACCGCCACGGTAACGACCACCGCCACGGTAACGACCACCGCCACGGTAACGACCACCGCCACGGTAACGACCACCGCCACGGTAACGATTGCTGCCACGGTAACGACCACCGCCACGGTAACGACCACCACCACGGTAACGACCACCGCCACGGTAACGACCACCGCCACGGTAACGACCACCGCCACGGTAACGACCACCGCCACGGTAACGACCACCGCCACGGTAACGATTGCTGCCACGGTAACGACCACCGCCACGGTAACGATTGCTGCCACGGTAACGACCACCACCACGGTAACGACCTCCGCCCCACCGCCGCCACGGTAATGACCGCCGCCACGGTAACGACCACTGCCACGGTAACGACCACCGCCACGGTAACGATTGCTGCCACGGTAACGACCACCGCCACGGTAACGATTGCTGCCACGGTAACGACCACCGCCACGGTAACAACCTCCGCCCCACCGCCGCCACGGTAATGACCGCCGCCACGGTAACGACCACCGCCACGGTAACGACCGCCACCCCACCGCCGCCACGGCAACGACCTCGGCAACCGCGGAGGAGATGACCCTCGGCGCCGGGGAATGTGCGAGCGGCCCGTTCACGTTTCTCGAGGTTCCTGTCGAGACGTCGTCTCCTCGCGGCCTCTCTGTGGCCCCCCCCGCCCCCCCCGCCCCCCCCGCCCCCCACCACCTCCACCCGCCCCCCCTGCCCCCCCCGCCCCCCACCACCTCCACCCGACGAGTGACGTTGCTGCTTGACGGCCGCGTTTGCGGCGTGTGCTGCCCGTGTCTCCCCAGCACACGTTCGTGTCGCTGCTGTCACGGGAGACGACGCTGAAGGTGCTGCGCGCAGTGTGCACCCACCTGGAGGTGGGGCCCCGCGCCACCCCACCGCTCCACCCCACTGCTCCACCCCGCCGCTCCACCCTACTGCTCCACCCCACCGCTCCACCCCACCGCTCCACCCCACCGCTCCACCCCACCGCCCGACCCCACCGCTCCACCCCACTGCTCCACCCCACCGCTCCACCCCACCGCTCCACCCCACCGCTCCACCCCACCGCTCCACCCCACCGCTCCAATCAACCACCCAGCTCCACTGCTCCACCCCACCACGCCACTCAACCACTCAGCTCCACCGCTCCACCCCACCGCTCCACCCCACCGCTCCACCCCACCGCTCCACCCCACCGCTCCACCCCACCGCTCCACCCCACCGCTCCACCCCACCGCTCCACTTAGCCACGCCACTCAACCACCCAGCTCCACTACTCCACCCCACCACTCCACCCGACCGCTCTACTCAGCCATGCCACTCCACCACTCCGCTCCACCACTCTACAACTCCACCACCCCACCGTTCCATCTACCTTACCACCCATGTACACCTAGGCCTGCGTGTGTGTATGTGCGCTTGCGTGCGTGTGTATGTGTGTGTGTATGTGTGCGTGTGTGTGTGTATGTGTGCGTGTATGTGTGTGTGTGTGCGCGTGTGTGTCTGTGTGCGCGTGTGTGTGTGTGTGCTTGTGTGTGTGTGTGCTCATAGACCTTTCCAGATGTACCCGACAGCCCGAAGCGTGGCCGGGACTCAGACTCCAGCGACAGCTCACGCAGCAACTCCCCCGAGCGGAGACACGGTAGGGGAGCGGAGACACGGTAGGGGACACGGTAGGGGAGCGGTAGGACACGTAGGGGGGCAGAGACACGGTAGGGGAGCGGAGACACGGTAGGGGAGCGGAGACACGGTAGGGGACACGGTAGTGGGAGCGGAGACACGGTAGGGGAGCGGAGACACGGTAGGGGGACACGGTCAGGGGAGCGGAGACACGGTAGGGGAGCGGAGAACGGTAGGGGGCCGGAGAACGGTAGGAGACACGGTAGGGGAGCGGAGACATGGTTAGGGAGCGGGAGACACGGTAGGGGAGCGGAGACATGTAGGGGACACGGTAGGGGAGCGGGAGACATGGTAGGGAGCGGAGACACGGTAGGAGACACGGTAGGGGAGCGGAGACACGGTAGGGGAGCGGAGGACACGGTAGGGGAGCGGAGACACGGTAGGGAAGCGGAGACACGGGTAGGGGAGCGGAGACACGGTAGGAGAGCGGCGACACGGTTGGAGCGGAGCGGAGAACGGTAGGGAGCTAGACACGGTAGGGGAGCGGAGACACGGTAGGGAGCGGAGACACGGTAGGGGAGCGGAGACACGGTAGGGGAGCGGAGACACGGTAGGGGAGCGGAGACACGGTAGGAGAGCGGAGACACGGTAGGGGAGCGGAGACACGGTAGGGGAGCGGAGACACGGTAGGGAGCGGAGACACGGTAGGGGAGCGGAGACACGGTAGGGGAGCGGAGACACGGTAGGGAGCGGAGACACGGTAGGGGGAGCGGAGACACGGTAGGGGAGCGGAGACACGGTAGGGGAGCGGAGACACGGTAGGGGAGCGGAGACACGGTAGGGGAGCGGAGACACGGTAGGGGAGCGGAGACACGGTAGGGGAGCGGAGACACGGTAGGAGAGCGGAGACACGGTAGGAGAGCGGAGACACGGTAGGGGAGCGGAGACACGGTAGGGGAGCGGAGACACGGTAGGGGAGCGGAGACACGGTAGGGAGCGGAGACATGGTAGGGGAGCGGAAACACGGTAGGGGGCCGGAGACACGGTAGGAGACACGGTAGGGGAGCGGAGACACGGTAGGGGAGCGGAGACATGGTAGGGGAGCGGAGACACGGTAGGGGGCCGGAGACACGGTAGGAGACACGGTAGGGGAGCGGAGACATGGTAGGGGAGCGGAGACACGGTAGGGGAGCGGAGACACGGTAGGGAGCGTAGACACGGTAGGAGAGTGGAGACATGGTAGGGGAGCGGAGACCGGTAGGGGGCCGGAGACACGGTAGGGGGCCGGAGACACGGTAGGAGACACGGTAGGGGAGCGGGAGACACGGTAGGGGAGCGGAGACACGGTAGGGGAGCGGAGACACGGTAGGGGAGCGGAGACACGGTAGGGGAGCGGAGACACGGTAGGGGCCGGAGACACGGTAGGGGAGCGGAGACACGGTAGGGGAGCGGAGACACGGTAGGGGAGCGGAGACACGGTAGGGGGCCGGAGACACGGTAGGGGAGCGGAGACACGGTAGGGGAGCGGAGACACGGTAGGGGACCGGAGACACGGTAGGGGGCCGGAGACACGGTAGGGGAGCGGAGACACGGTAGGGAGCGGAGACACGGTAGGGGAGCGGAGACACGGTAGGGGACACGGTAGGGAGCGGAGACACGGTAGGGGGCCAGAGACACGGTAGGGGAACGGAGACACGGTAGGGAGCGGAGACACGGTAGGGGACACGGTAGGGGAGCGGAGACACGGTAGGGGAGCGGAGACACGGTAGGGGACACGGTAGGGGAGCGGAGACTCGGTAGGGAGCGGAGACACGGTAGGGGCCGGAGACACGGTAGGAGACACGGTAGGGGAGCGGAGACATGGTAGGGGAGCGGAGACACGGTAGGGGAGCGGAGACACGGTAGGGGACACGGTAGGGGAGCGGAGACATGGTAGGGAGCGGAGACACGGTAGAGACACGGTAGGGGAGCGGAGACACGGTAGGGGAGCGGAGACACGGTAGGGGAGCGGAGACACGGTAGGGGAGCGGAGCACGGTAGGGGAGCGGAGACACGGTAGGGGAGCGGAGACACGGTAGGGGAGCGGAGACACGGTAGGGGAGCGGAGACACGGTAGGGGAGCGGAGACACGGTAGGGGAGCGGAGACACGGTAGGGGAGCGGAGACACGGTAGGGGAGCGGAGACACGGTAGGGGAGCGGAGACACGGTAGGGGAGCGGAGACACGGTAGGGGAGCGGAGACACGGTAGGGGAGCGGAGACACGGTAGGGAGCGGAGACACGGTAGGGGAGCGGAGACACGGTAGGGGAGCGGAGACACGGTAGGGGAGCGGAGGACACGGTAGGGGAGCGGAGACACGGTAGGGGAGCGGAGACACGGTAGGGGAGCGGAGACACGGTAGGGGAGCGGAGACACGGTAGGGGAGCGGAGACACGGTAGGGGAGCGGAGACACGTAGGGGAGCGGAGACACGGTAGTGAGAGCGGAGACACGGTAGGAGAGCGGAGACACGGTAGGGGAGCGGAGACACGGTAGGGGAGCGGAGACACGGTAGGGGAGCGGAGACACGGTAGGGAGCGGAGACACGGTAGGGGAGCGGAAACACGGTAGGGGGCCGGAGACACGGTAGGAGACACGGTAGGGGAGCGGAGACACGGTAGGGGAGCGGAGACACGGTAGGGGGCCGGAGACACGGTAGGAGACACGGTAGGGGAGCGGAGACATGGTAGGGGAGCGGAGACACGGTAGGGGAGCGGAGACACGGTAGGGAGCGTAGACACGGTAGGAGAGCGGAGACATGGTAGGGGAGCGGAGACACGGTAGGGGGCCGGAGACACGGTAGGGGGCCGGAGACACGGTAGGAGACACGGTAGGGGAGCGGAGACACGGTAGGGGAGCGGAGACACGGTAGGGGAGCAGAGACACGGTAGGGGAGCGGAGACACGGTAGGGGAGCGGAGACACGGTAGGGGCCGGAGACACGGTAGGGGAGCGGAGACATGGTAGGGGAGCGGAGACACGGTAGGGGAGCGGAGACACGGTAGGGGGCCGGAGACACGGTAGGGGAGCGGAGACACGGTAGGGGAGCGGAGACACGGTAGGGGACCGGAGACACGGTAGGGGAGCGGAGACACGGTAGGGGAGCGGAGACACGGTAGGGGAGCGGAGACACGGTAGGGGAGCGGAGACACGGTAGGGGAGCGGAGACACGGTAGGGGAGCGGAGACACGGTAGGGGAGCGGAGACATGGTAGGGGAGCGGAGACACGGTAGGAGACACGGTAGGGGAGCGGAGACACGGTAGGGGGCCAGAGACACGGTAGGGGAGCGGAGACACGGTAGGGGGCCGGAGACACGGTAGGGGAGCGGAGACACGGTAGGGGGCCGGAGACACGGTAGGGGAGCGGAGACACGGTAGGGGAGCGGAGACACGGTAGGAGACACGGTAGGGGGCCAGAGACACGGTAGGGGAGCGGAGACACGGTAGGGGGACGGAGACACGGTAGGAGACACGGTAGGGGAGCGGAGACACGGTAGGAGACACGGTAGGGGAGCGGAGACACGGTAGGGGAGCGGAGACACGGTAGGGTAGCGGAGACACGGTAGGAGACACGGTAGGGGAGCGGAGACACGGTAGGGGAGCGGAGACACGGTAGGGGAGCGGAGACATGGTAGGGGAGCGGAGACACGGTAGGGGAGCGGAGACACGGTAGGAGACACGGTAGGGGAGCGGAGACACGGTAGGGGAGCGGAGACACGGTAGGGGACACGGTAGGGGAGCAGAGACACGGTAGGGGAGCGGAGACACGGTAGGGGAGCGGAGACACGGTAGGGGAGCGGAGACACGGTAGGAGACACGGTAGGGGGCCAGAGACACGGTAGGGGAGCGGAGACACGGTAGGAGACACGGTAGGGGAGCGGAGACACGGTAGGGGAGCGGAGACACGGTAGGGGGCCGGAGACACGGTAGGGGAGCGGAGACATGGTAGGGGAGCGGAGACACGGTAGGGGGCCGGAGACACGGTAGGAGACACGGTAGGGGAGCGGAGACACGGTAGGGGGCCGGAGACACGGTAGGGGAGCGGAGACACGGTAGGGGAGCGGAGACACGGTAGGGGGCCGGAGACATGGTAGGAGAGCGGAGACATGGTAGGGGAGCGGAGACACGGTAGGGGAGCGGAGACACGGTAGGGGAGCGGAGACACGGTAGGGGAGCGGAGACACGGTAGGGGAGCGGAGACACGGTAGGGGAGCGGAGACACGGTAGGGGAGCGGAGACACGGTAGGGGACACGGTAGGGGAGCGGAGACATGGTAGGGGAACGGAGACACGGTAGGGGAGCGGAGACACGGTAGGGGAGCGGAGACACGGTAGGGGACACGGTAGGGGAGCGGAGACACGGTAGGGGAGCGGAGACACGGTAGGGGAGCGGAGACACGGTAGGGGGCACGGTAGGGGAGCGGAGACACGGTAGGGGGCCGGAGACACGGTAGGAGACACGGTAGGGGAGCGGAGACACGGTAGGGGAGCGGAGACACGGTAGGGGACACGGTAGGGGAGCGGAGACATGGTAGGGGAACGGAGACACGGTAGGGGAGCGGAGACACGGTAGGGGAGCGGAGACACGGTAGGGGACACGGTAGGGGAGCGGAGACACGGTAGGGGAGCGGAGACACGGTAGGGGAGCGGAGACACGGTAGGGGAGCGGAGACACGGTAGGGGAGCGGAGACACGGTAGGGGAGCGGAGACACGGTAGGGGAGCGGAGACACGGTAGGGGACACGGTAGGGGAGCGGAGACATGGTAGGGGAACGGAGACACGGTAGGGGAGCGGAGACACGGTAGGGGAGCGGAGACACGGTAGGGGACACGGTAGGGGAGCGGAGACACGGTAGGGGAGCGGAGACACGGTAGGGGAGCGGAGACACGGTAGGGGGCACGGTAGGGGAGCGGAGACACGGTAGGGGGCCGGAGACACGGTAGGAGACACGGTAGGGGAGCGGAGACACGGTAGGGGAGCGGAGA